ATGCCTGTACGCAATATTCTAAATGTGGACGCACTATGGTTTTGTACAACGGGACAAAAATCTCCGGTGTTCTGCAACTTACTACAGCGCACAACCTGAAAAGTTCGTGTCGAGCAATATAAGCCACACGCTTGCACTGTAGGGATGGCCGCAAATCGTTCGTGGTCATTACCCCTAGATCCTTTGCCTCAGAGGCATGCTGCAAATCCATCATACCTCTCGTGTCATCATTGGCTCTTGTGGTCAAGAGCTGACACTTACCTAGATTCAGTGGCAGATCCCACTTATCCGACCACCTTCGAACTGCATCTAGATCCTGCTCCTGTCCATCTCCAGCTAACTTCACATCATTGGCGAACATGAAGCAAGGATTTTGAAGATCCTTTGCAAGGTCGTTAATGAAGATCAAGAATAATAAGGGATCCAACACCGATCCCTTAGGGACACCACTCAATACTCCCTTAGGTTCGGTTGTATGATTTCCAACTCTCACACTGAATGTGCGACAGCTGAGAAATTGTCTAATCCATTCTCTTGCTTTGCCTAGGATCCCCAATGTCTGCATATTTAAATCCAGAAGCTGATGACTGACAGAGTAGAAAGCTTAGGTGAAATCTAGGTAGCAAACCTCTACTTGGTAACCTGCGTTTATTCTTTTTGTAAATTTGTCTAGAAATGCCAGTAGGTTAGCTAAGCACGAATTTTTCTCGACCAATCCATGTTGGGCTTGAATCAGAAGCCCATGGACCATCAGGTACGAACATATCTGTTTCCTAACTATCCGCTAGAGACCCTTGCATAGGACCGAGGTCAAACAAACATGGTGTCTAGGGCCTGAATTGTGGATGGCCACTACGGTTGCAGTTGACGTTTCTTACTTTTTTATCTACTTTATCTGACCTGATTGTACAGCTTGTTTTAATATGCGCAGTACCGAATACACAGCACAAAAATTCTGTTCGTAAATACGGGCGTGTTCTCCGAGTGTTGCTGAGGAGTTAAGCAAGCATTATCAGTTATCGTCAAGCGGTCCGTTAACTGTCGCAGATATCCATTTCAGCTCCTCTACACCTCATCGACCGGAACCACATATCACAAGAACAGGATCAATCGACCAGCGGACAATCCTTCTGTGAGTCCGTTCCTTGTACCGTTTATTTCATTATTATTCGTATATGTAGTATCTTTTCCACTACATATTTGGTGAGCCCTTGTTTAGATTATCTATCGCCTCATATTTTCCTACGGTACCCCAGATTCTTCAGGAATTTCACTTCNTTTACGGTATATTTTACATATGGAGCAGTCAACGCTAAACATAGAGGAACTTCCCATGTCTTCTCACATTAAATTACCGGTATTTGGTATTAACAACCCCCGGTTATGGTTCGCCCAAGCCGAAGCCCATTTCCGTGCCCACCGCATCCGTTCCCNTCCCATACAGTCACTTCCCTGCCCACCGATATTGCGGAACAGGTGTTCGAATTCATCATCACCGTGCCTGAGACCGACCCATACGCTCAATTTAAAGAAGCGTTAATCACCCGCACAGCTGTGTCGGATGAACGTCGATTAGACGAGTTGTTTGGGGACCTCGAAATCTGCGACCGCACCCGGTCCCCGTTGTTGCGACACATGCGGCAACTTCTCGGCACCCGCGTACCTGATGACGCCATCCTCCGCCAGCTTTGGTTGGAGCGTCTCCCTCCACGCATCCGAAAATTTTTATCCGTTCTCTCCAACAGTTTGTTGGATGAAATGACACTGGCCGCGGATAAAATGTTCGAAGCAAACCCAGCTTCGTATTACATCACCGCTTGCTCCAACCCAACCCTGACCGCCCCTCGCTGTGATGATATCTTTCCACGCATGGGGAACCTTGAAATGCAGATGCAGCAACTGGTTCTTCACCTCTCCTGCTCACGGTCATCCAGTCGAAGTCGAAGTCGCTTGACTTCACAAACCCGCAGAAATCACCCACCAGCCAGCTCTAACCCTCAACATTGCTGATACCACCAACAATTTGGCCCCAGAGCCAAG